TGAAACCACTGTGAGACCTTGCCCACCCTATCATGTCATCTATTGAGGTCGCCTGACAGGATATGTTGTGGAGGTTGAGGCGCCTGGAAATGGATGTCAAAGTTTGTTTGTTTGTTTGTTTGTTTGTTTGTGTGCAACAAAAGAGATTTCAATTAAATACAGTACAACTTTGTTTTAATTACCAATTTACACAAACATTTACACACACTGTAATGCCACTCATTTTGACTTCACATTATAATGTAGAAGTAAATCTTTTGTTTAGCTAGAGTAAATTATTTATATTGTTGCTTTCACTTCATGAATACTAACGGACTAGGCTTTGTTAATTGGAAACATGCACGAGATGTCCTGGTGTACAATTATAAATCATCTCAGACAATCTGAAAGAAGTGACTTGACTCCTGTAGAGCTAGTTTGACCTTGTGGAAGATTTATAATGCAAGGTCAAATAAATTGAACTTGACTACAACACAGAAACAAAAATCATGCGGCATACATTTATGTCCACTGAATCCCAGCTGCAGACAATGAAAGGGCAGATGCTGATTCACTTGTCACAGCTTTGAGTACAACGAGATGATGAGTTATTTTCCTGGGGGTTGGCACAGCATGACGCATTCAGTTCCCCAGATGGTCCTCGCCATGATTCAGTTGTCTGTTGCTGGGCAGCATGCGTGGGCCAATAAAACGTCATACACACTTCAGAGTTTATTTTTGTATGGCAAAAACCAGCAGTCACCACACTGGACATGATTCTTTTTTCTTCCAAATGATTTTTGTGATTTTGTTTCCATTTTTGTTCTCACCAATCAAAGACAAAACTCCTATGTGGTGGGGACTGGACTACTAGAGTTGGTTTCACCCAGCATGAAGCATCAGTTTAATCAGAAATACTGTAAGAAACAGAAATAAATTCCAGGATCTCCCTGATTCTTCACATCAGTTGGGACTCTCTTGTGTTCTTTCTTTAGTTCGCTCTGGTGTGCACACCAAACATGCATATAATATGTATATGCAGTTCTCTGTCGCATCAAGACTGTCTCCACTCTGTTATATATTCCATATGTACGGGGAATGGCCGCACTCCCAATAGTCAGGGTGTGTGTAAACAGGGCTATGGGCCAAGCACCATAGCTTAGCTATAAAAAAAAAAAAGCTCTGCAGACATGAAATCACTGATTGTTTGATCTCATCCTAGCACTCAGGTGCAGCATGTGTTGTGAAATTTGTTTATGATTGAGTTTGGATTATAGCATTAGTCCCATTACCTGTGTGGCTGGAAGCTTGCCTGTTGGCAGCCTTCCTAGATTGCCATTTCCCTTAAGTAAGAACCCCTTTCCTGGCCAAACCTTGTGGGTTTGGAAAAAATGTATCTGAGAAGAACTTTTTCCTGTGCTGCAGCCTGACACCAGGGGGCTTCATTTTGGGGGAGCTGTTAAGTTGTCCATGTTTTCAACAGTCACTGGTAATGCTGGTTGACTTACTACAGACTGAGACCATTAAAAAAATTTGAATCAGTCATATCAGAGACGGTAAAAAAGTGCTTCAACTGCTTGAAAACCAGAAAGAAGAAGAAAAAGAAGAAAAGTACAACGTGGGACTATTCTTACCTTTGCTTTAATGATGAACCTATCACACGGCAGTATTATTTACCCATCCAGATTGAAAATACATATGTAAACACAGTGTAAGGTGAGCACTTCTATAAAAGATGCATGTAGACGTTACCAAACTGGAGCTGTGTGAGAGCAGTCTTCACTTTCAGGAATTTTAATAAAGCTGTCGGGATTGAATATGGATCACAAGTAGTTTCTCTTCATATCTGGATCTATCATGGATAGATGATCCGAGTAGGCTTTAAAAAAAAACAAAACACTTTTTGTCCCGCAGCTTGGCGGCTGTACCTCGGGAGGTAGAGCAGGTTTTCTACTAAACAGAAGGTTGGTGACTTGTTTCCTAGCTGCTCCAGTCTCCATGCCAGGTATCCTTGTGCAAGATACTACTCCCAAGTATGAATGTGTGTGGATGTTAAATATAAAGCACTTACATATAAGTTTAGAAAAAAGCCCTTGTGTGAATGTGGGAATGCTCCGGTAGAGTGGAGAGGTGCTATGCAAGAACCAGTTCATTTCCTTTTTTCTACTGACTGTCCACTATTGGACATCATGATGAAGCAATGTTCTGCCCAGTAGCCACATGACTGAACATTTTGGATTGGCCTTTGAGTCCTGGCAAACGAAAAGGACCCATATTTAAAGTGGAACTGATCCAGGAAACCTGTGATAAAACACTTTCTGATAGTTTGAGAAATTTTTTTCAAACTATTTAAATTGTCAGGCTTTTTTTAACACTTTATTTTTATTGGTAGTTTTGTTTCTGTTTTGTACAAAACATTCAGACCCTTAACAAGTACAGAGCATCTAGGTTAGCAGAGACACATTAAAAAAAGATACATCCATTTAAGGTACAATCAAATCAAATAGGTGAATTAAGGCAATGATACATTTGGTACCAGAATTTATAATATTTTTCCATTCAGGTAAAGGTCCCATTCTTTCCAGGATTTCTCAAATTTATCAGCAGCAAGTCTTAATGAAAAAGTTAGTCTCTCCATTGTGTAAATTTCCTTGATAGTGCCTGTCCAGTCCAAAAATGACAGTGGATCCACATTTAGCCATTTGCGATTTATGGCTTTCTTTGCACCAGCCAATAGTATTAATAAAAGACATTAACCAAGCCCGTTTCCTCCTCTTCTAGGAATTTTATGTTTCTTTCGTAATGGTGTCTCAGCTGGAGGTATCTAAAGAAATCCTGTCTTTCCAAATAAAAACTTCTCTGGAGTTGCTGGTAGTCTTTTAGTACATTTTTGTCTGCGATCTTCCAGTAGCCTGTTATACCCAGTGTAGGGACTAACGCGTTATTAAGTAACGCTTTACAGTAACTTTGTTATTATTGTGGTAACTGTTTCGTTTGTCTCCTTATTTATGAAGAAAGAGTCCTTTTGTGATCTGCGACATACTTTTATTAACCATCCTTGGTTAGCCGGAACAACCACCACCTCTTAGCTCTCATGCTCGTGTTTACTGAGATAGTGCCACCTTGTGGTATGGCATGAAACTATGTTAACTTACAGCAACAGCTGCTTATCGTTACAACCTGCTTTTTTTCCTTCTTTTATGAAAAAAAAGAAAAAAAAAACCACATCACCAAACATATGTGAGTTAAACAACAAACATTAAAGAATATGGCAGATGGCACAAGCATAACCTTTGCTTTGTCTGATTTGGAATGTTATTAGTTTGTTGATTTTGTTTTTTTACAAGTCCAGTCTCTCAGGTTTCCTGATCTCTCGTGCAGACCTCCTGAGCACAGGCTTGCTTGAATTGTCCATTCCTGTGCCACTCTGGTCATGTGGAGATGTGGTTTCATCCTTACTTCGGATCTCAGTGACTTCTGAAGAAGCTTCTGGTATTTTCAAAAGGCTTCGCCGATTGCGATGAATGATTTGTCCATCTTCAGTCCTTACATTGAATGACCTTGGAGCCACTTCTTCGAGAACGGTAGCCTTGGTGTTCCAACCATTTTGATCCTCAATCCTGACTGTGTCCTCAACTGCTAATGGTCAAAGTTGCTTGGCTCTTCTGTCATAAAATAACTTTTGCTTCATCTTTAAGTGTCGAAGCCTCTGACATACTTTTGAATGCGTTGTGGGCTTGACGCAGCTTGACGCAGCTTGGCGTGCAGCTTTCTGTTCATCAGTAGCTCAGCAGGCGATAAACCACACTCAACTGGTGATGCTCTGTAGCTGAGTAAGGCGAGGTATGGATCTGAGTCCCTATCAGCGGCTTTCTTTAATAGCTGCTTGAGAATGTGAACTCCTTTCTCTGCCTTACCTTTTGACTGTGGATACAGAGGGCTAGATGTCATATGCTTGAAGTCATACTGCTCTGCAAACTCCTGCCACTCCTTGCTGCTGAAACATGGCCCATTGTCACTCATCACCAGTGTTGGTCAAGTTACTTGAAAAAAGTAATCGGTAACTAATTACTGATTACTTCCCCAATAAAGTAATCCCGTTACTTTACTGATTACTTATTTTCAAAAGTAATTAATTACTTAGTTACTTTTTAAAAGCACGATTTGCAACCTGAATAGGTGATAAAGCGATAGATCTTTCAGCCCAATTCTACTTT